AGCCACCTCATCGCTTGTATGAAGCTGGGGGGAATAATTTATGCTTCATCAGCTTCTTTGGTGTCCCTGGGTGACATTAGGGGTCTAAGCCCCTAATGTCTCCATAACGAGGACCTTTCACTGTATCTGTGCTATCACAGATGCATCCTGTAAAGGCTACAGTACCTTCCTGGGAAATATCATCTTTAAGCTGCAATCTTGTGAGATCTTGGGAAAAAGGCATTATTTCCCACTCGATGATGTGCACTGTTACATGTTCCAGGAGGCAGACCCAGAGTTTCAGATGGATTTATCTGCCCTTAGCGAAAATAGATACTGTGAGAAAATGGGGAAAAAAATGAAAAAAAGTATGCAAAAAAAGTCTGCAGGTATCTGTTTGTAGATTGCCATTACTACATAATTGTTGTCATGTTTTAAAGTGACATTAAAGGCAAAAAATTTCTTCCCTCCCCCCAATGTAAATGTTAGCACTTACCTTAAATGATGTCTCTTTTTCCGATCTTCCTCTTCTTTCCCCATGTTTTCATCTGTCCCTCCAGCTGTGTGACGTCACTCCGATCCAGCGCTGACTGCTCTGTCTCTCCGATCCAGCAGTGTCTGCAGGCGGGTGCACGCGTCCATAGACTTACCCTGCGTCTCTGCTCGTCTCCCGGCCGAGAATCGGAACTTCGCATGCGCCCGCCCCAAGATCCTTTGCGGCCGTACGAGCAGTTCCTGATTCTCGGTGCGGGAACGAGCGGCGATAACGAGGTAAGTTTAAAATGATTTTAAGCGTTTTTTGTTTTTTTTTTACACTTCTTGCCTATATCTACTGCATGCTAGCAGTAGATATAGGCAAAAAAAAAACGGAGGGTTTAGAATCCCTTTAAGATAAGTGTGAAGTTTCTCTTTAAGATTTGCATATCCATTTAGAAAACATTAACGGTTCATGTCCTTGGATGTTCTAGTCAGATTCTGCATCTTCCATTCGAATACATGCAGCGTTTTACATGAAAAATCTCAGTTTGAGCTTTTTAAGCTTTGTACAGTTCAAATTCATCTTGATAGGACATGCTGAATCTAATGAAAGGCAGTGCAACACAATGCAAAGCATGCCAGATACAGCTTCTGAACTGCCATGTGTACTTCCCAATTAAAGTCAATAGGATTCTTGCTGATCTATGTTTGGTGTTTGTTCCAAATGCATGTCAAAAGCATGGGAACAAACCCTGTGACATGAGCTCTAATGTAGTCTTGATCAGCTGCTAACACTTTGCAGAAGGTCTAATGCAATTGTCAAACACAAGACCTGTGGGCCAAATCCGGCCTGCCAGGCCATTTCATGTGACCCTCGCACCTCTCCTGCAGCTTTGGCACCTCCCTCGTCTACACCCCCACTTTGTCTCAGTAGTTTGCAGCAGAGAAGAGGACAGAGCACTTTGGATATAATGACGAGGGATGCACCGATACCGGTATCGGTGCTGATAACTGGGCATTTTCACAAGTACTCATACTCCTGAAAATGACCCAATAATATGTGCCAATACCGGTGCTTTACTTTTTTAAACTGAAGCCAACGCTGTAAACAGGCACCAGGCTTCATAGGAGGGCTGCCACGGTCCCCAGCAAGGTCCCGGCAGCCTTCCTGTTAACCTGCCCGCACCCGCCGAGACCCCGCACAGCCCAGCATAGACCCTGCACAGCCACCTGAGAGTCCACACAGCCCACCATAGAAACTGCACAGCCCACTATAGGCACCACACATCCTACCTGAGTGTCTGCACAGTCCAGCATAGACCCCGCACAACTACCTGAGAGACTGCACATCCCATCATAGAACCTGCACAGCCACCTGAGAGTCCGCACAGCCCACCATAGAAGCTGCACAGCCACCTGAGAGTCTGCACAGCCCATTGCCAGGCCATTTCATGTGACCCTCGCACCTCTCCTGCAGCTTTGGCACCTCCCTCGTCTACACCCCCACTTTGTCTCAGTAGTTTGCAGCAGAGAAGAGGACAGAGCACTTTGGATATAATGACGAGGGATGCACCGATACCGGTATCGGTGCTGATAACTGGGCATTTTCACAAGTACTCATACTCCTGAAAATGACCCAATAATATGTGCCAATACCGGTGCTTTACTTTTTTAAACTGAAGCCAACGCTGTAAACAGGCACCAGGCTTCATAGGAGGGCTGCCACGGTCCCCAGCAAGGTCCCGGCAGCCTTCCTGTTAACCTGCCCGCACCCGCCGAGACCCCGCACAGCCCAGCATAGACCCTGCACAGCCACCTGAGAGTCCACACAGCCCACCATAGAAACTGCACAGCCCACTATAGGCACCACACATCCTACCTGAGTGTCTGCACAGTCCAGCATAGACCCCGCACAACTACCTGAGAGACTGCACATCCCATCATAGAACCTGCACAGCCACCTGAGAGTCCGCACAGCCCACCATAGAAGCTGCACAGCCACCTGAGAGTCTGCACAGCCCACCATAGAAGCTGCACAGCCACCTGAGAGTCTGCACAGCCCATCATAGAACCTGCAAAGCCACATGAGAGTCTGTACAGCCACCTGAGAGTCTGCACAGCCCACCATAGACCCCACATAGCCCTCCATAGACCTCTATAGACCCCACATAGCCCACCAGAGAGTGTGTACAACCCACCATAGAACCTGCACAGCACACCATAGACCCCTGCATAGTTCACCTGAGAGTCCGCACAGCCTACCATAGAGCCTCCACAGCCACCTGAGAGTCTGCACAAGTACACTAATTGCTCTTGATTTTTCTAGACTCCTACTATCAGACTTAGTTATTAAGTTATTACTAAAACCAGTAATAATCAAATGCAGAGACAATTATGTTATATGATAAAGAGTAGATACATTGATATAGTCTTACAGATACAACCGGCCCTTTAAGGGCAACCATAATGCTGATGCAGCCCATGATGAAATTGAGTTTGACATCCCTGGTCTAATGGCTCGTGTCAGGCGTTGTTTTCCTGCATTTGCATTTGGAATGCTCCTGAAATATAACTCAGCAAAATCCTATTGACTGTAATTGAGCAGTAAACATAGCAGACCTGCTTTGCATTGTGCTGCGTTTCTTTGGACGCAGCAGGTCTTATTAAGGTGCGTTTAAACTACAGGCCAAGCTGTGGAAAACACATGCATTTGGCTAGAACGCCCATCAACATGAACCCTAACTCGCAGTAAGATGGGCATTCTGTAATTTTTAATTGTAACTAGCAAATGTCACTATAATATAGGCACATTTAATCAATTTTTGTGCCTGGCTATGGTTTCTAGACAGTAAATGCATCCGTTAACACTTATAGGCCAGCTCTTACATTGAACCTTTCCTGTGCTCAATAATGATTCTCAAGGCAATTATAGTTCATTATTGAATGGCAAATTTCAATAAAAAGCTAATTACAGCGAAGAACAGCAAAATGTGACTGAATCCCCAGGACTGAGTGAAATCTTTAATGATACTTAATATTTTAATAAATAATTTGTAATATACCGATTGCAAATAACATTCATTTTACATCCCTGGTAGCATGTTAATAATCTCAGTGAAATATGAGTAGCTATTAAAGTAAATTTATGTATTCTAATAAAGTGCAATTGATCTTCCTTTCCCCCCAGGTTCCATACATCATATACAATTCCAAGAAGACACAAACAACAATGATGATATATGTATTTCATAATCATTATGTATGGGAAACATCAACATCTTCATTTCATAACCAAGTCGCTCATTTGCCTTGTTCCCTACAGAGAATAGATTCCAACAAGGCAGGAGTTGAATTCAATATCTTATCTTTTTTTGTTGTTGTAGATAGCGAGTCAAATAATGAACAGAGCTGATTCCCCTCCCTCTTTCAATCATATGCAAAGCCACTTGCGTCGCTTTCAGTGGTGAGCTGCTGAGAGTGCTGTAGTTTGCAGCATTGGTGAATCACACAAGCAGTCTGGTGCATCTTGCATAGGAGCTTGCAGCGCCCTCTACGCCCTGCTCTTCTTGTCTCTCTGCAACTGATGGTCCAGGAGGGGGATGCTTAAGCAGGTTGGCTCCTGATAATAAAAAAAAAAGTAATTCTTGCTTCAAGAAGCAACCTTTGCCAACAGAAGACCAGAGTACAGGATGTCTATTTGAATCCAAACTCCTGACCTGTCCTTTGAAGACTTTTTTTTTGGAAGAAGTCCTAGTGTGCTAGCCATGGCCATGTCTCTTCCTTGGCACCTCATCTTGGCCACCATGGTCAGTGCCTCGTGTACATTGGATTGCTGAAGAGGAGACAGAAACCCCATGCAATATGGCCAAGAGATTAACTAGTAAAGTTTGATTGTGCTGTGAATATTAAGTGAGTTGTAGAGGAGCTATCACTGGAGATCCAGTTGAAGGCTTCTGTCGGAGAACTGATTTCTGGCAAGGGATAGCGTTCATCTATTTATTGACATCTTCGGATTGGTGGTCTTACTGGGGGTCTGCTGCGCTTGTCATATATGATATTCATATTTATTCCCTGCTTGATACTATGCAACAAACAGAGCATTTGGATCTGCTCCACGCTGAGGGATTTCACTGTTTTAATGCGGATTTAATCGCAGAAATATTATTAAATCCCGATTTTTGCAAAGCTTGCCTTCAGAAGATTGCAAAGGTGGAGCGACCAGAGAGAGCAGATGACGGACCTATTAATCCTTTCAATGCATGGAAAGACCCAGGAATCGCTGTTATGTAAAGCGGGTGAAACCTTCGATCTGGCTTTGGTCTCCCACCAAACTCATGACCAGATTGCTTCCGATCTGACAGCCCTGTTCTTCCTCATGCTCTCCAACCTTGACAAGGCTCCCGGGGAAGTGACCTGCTGCCCGTCCATGGCGATCTGTTGCCGAGCCCTGGGGATCTGTCTTGGAGATGGGATCTAGTGTCTGAATGCAGTGTTTAGATACATTTCATGATCATGGTGATCACTTGAACCGTCTGGAGAGGAAGTGGCGATTCCTGCTGCGCTGGCTTGTGTGTCTTTTTTTGAATCCATCCTATTCCCCCGCACTGGAAGTCCTCCCGTATCTAAATGGAATTAGTGGAGATCGAAGCCCCTTGTGTAAGGAACAGACATGGTCCATGGGCGCAGTTTGTTTCACAGTGAGTATGATAATGTCTCTAGCTGCAGCTTGCTGCACAATACTTCTGTCTCTTTCTTCTAGACTTGATCAGCTTTAATAGATCTCAGTCCAGCCAACACATTTACTACAGCTGCTGCTGCTGTGATTTTATTGTTATATTTTGTTCTTATGGCATATTGATATTGGCAGCAAGGTGAGGACAAAGGTGATGCAAGTAGAAGCTTCTACTGTATATTATGCTGGCCATGCATTGACATTCTGGAGATGTAGCCTAACTCCCTCCTTATGCTTACCATGTGAAATCGGGGGGGGGGGCGGTCTTGTGGTGAATGGAGGTATAACAGTGTCATTTTCTGCAGTGATTAGTAAACGCTGTACACAGCAAAGTGCTGCTCAATGTGATAAAGCTACACTGTTCTAACCACCCCATGCATGAGGCTTCCTAGATACACATCCGATGATCTGGGCTTGGGGGGGAGGGGGGGTGACAGCTTAGTTTCATCAAAAGCTGTTGTGTTTGTAGAGAACTGCATTAAAATCGCTAGGACAGTCAGTTTCACTCTATTAAAAATTCAGAGGCTCTTAAACGTGTGTATATAAAGAAGCTTCATTTCCATAACTCATTAAGAACCAAGGACAGCTCCGTCTGTGTGTCAATATTATTGGTCTTTTGATGCTGCTGTTCGTTGTGTGATCTCAGCAATACTCTCTTGTATTTCCCATTCCTGTTATAGCTTCTGCAGCTTGGAATGTAAGAAAAATCACCTATGTGTACCCCTGTGTGATCTTGGTTAATTGCAAGCTTCTTGTGCATAATGGTGTTTCAAAGGCAGCAGTCTGTTTGTCACATTTGAAGCTACATAATCAAAGTCTAGTATACATTGCTTATGTGACTTTTAAGATGAATCTTAAAAGGCAAGCTTTTACTTTGGTCTGATAATTTATCATTTTTGGATCATTGCTTTGGCTAGATCACTGTGCCAGGAGTTAAGCCAGGCACACACACACATCACCTTATCTTGTGACTGAGTCAGTGAGACATAACGCATTGTCTGACATATATCAGACATACTCTATATCCTGCAAGCATGGCTGGTATACTACAGAGCAGTTTCAAACAATCCTGTGTGTGTGTGTCTATGATGAAGATTCCAATCGAATAAAATGATTTGTTTTAATCAATTACAAGCTATGTCTAATAGAAAGCACCTAGTGCAGTTTACAATGAAGATTTTAAAAATCATCTAAACACTAATATGTCTTCTTTTATTGCAGTTGTAACAAGTCTAATTATTCTGCATGTGTCTTGGGCAACAAAAAAAGTAGGAGGTAAGTTGTGTGTGGCCCTTAGTACTGCAGTTTTTGATAAAAAATGTATACGCAATGTAGATTTCTTTTTTGTTCATGGATTGATTTGGTGTGATTTTCTTCTAGACAAACAGACACCTTCAGAAGGACAGAAATCTTTACAGTGTGGAACGTGGACAAAATACGCAGATGGAGGATTTTTTACTTCTCCCAACTACCCCAACAAATACCCTCCTGACAAGGAGTGTATCTACATAATAGAAGGTAGTTATAGTTTAAAGCTATATGCTACATACTGTCAATCATATAACATATTGTATGCCTGAGTATTTCTAAAATGAAAGTTTTGTTTAAATGATTGCCCAGTGTAGTAATATTACAACTTCTAAATCATCCAAATCACCATCCTCTAGTCAGTGGCTTGGGGGCCACATGCAGGTCTCTCCTTCTATTAATGTTGCTTGTATCAGCATTTGGGTATGTGTCTGATTTATTGCCGCATTTTTATACAATTCCCATTAGTCTGAATTTGTTGTGAATTTATTGTCTGGTATAGTAATATTAAATGTTCTAAAGCAGTGATCCTCTAGCTAATAGCTTGGAAGCCCCCTGCACAGGTCTCTGTTTCCTTTGATACTGCTTGGTTGAGCATTTGAGCACATTTCTGAGCTTTTGGTGCATTATACAGATCCCATAAGAGTGGATTTATATGTCCAATATAACATATTCTAAAGAAGTATTTCTTTGGCCATTAGCTTGGAGGCCACATGTAGGACCCTTTTCTTTGATGCTGTTTGCTTCAGCATTGGAGCATGTGTCTGAGTTTCTGCTGCATTATACAGTTTACATATAGGTGAAAATACTGGAGACTGAGACAATAGGATAAGGATTCTTATATTCCAAAATGATCGTTATTTATAGTTTGGAGACAAAAGGCTCATTTCACAAGCTAACATGCTAGAACGAGGACAGTTATTTTCGCTTGGGTCCAATGAGATTTTCAAAATTGCAGTCACATGGCTGAAAATTAATGATCCCTGTCCTGGTGTTAAAATATTGTGACTTGCGCCTATAGTCATTACAGCTGAATTCCGGGTAGATATCAATGACATAAATAAATACAGCCCCCTATTTAATACCTCCTTAAAATGTATTTTTTTAAGTAATCAATGTAGGTACTAGACTTTTCCTTGGTATCAGCCTCCTGCAGTCTCTGTACAGCAGAGCTCAGACTGGGTAGGAGAAAAGCAGCACAAGGGGCCAACCAGTTGTGCTGCAGTGCAAGAAGCATATTAATTGGAAGAAAGAGCAGAGTGACAGAGTAAAAATCATCTGTCTGCTGGTTACCTTTCACTGTCCAGTGGGACGAGACCTGTAAATGTTACTGAGCTGCATCAAAGAAAAATCAGGTATCCCTTAATGCCATATGGTGTGGCAGAGCTGTGTAAATCTCAGAACTGAATGGATAGAAATACAAATCCTTTGGCAAGGAAACAGCTCCCTGTATATTTAGCTGTGTGTCTGGAGTTCAACTTTAAAACAGCACAGGCAGGAGAGACAATATACAACGTGTAATTACCTATATCAGTCAATAAGATTTCAGTTTATTTAGGTAAAATTACTAAGTTATGAATTCTGATCGGCTGCTGTGGGTTACTGCATTTTGAAGCTTAATATTAGCTGTTCAAATGTTATGTAAAGGTTGGTGTCCTTATTCAAGAGGTACCCAACCCTTTGTGACTCATGACTATTATTCAACACATTTTTGCACCTATGGTAAATTTTTCAGCAACCTACTACTATTACCCACACATATTTTATGCAGAGCGGAAATGTGTGCTGAGAAAACCTATTGTTAGATGTGCAATTAAACTTTACATGTGGATTTTCACAATTTAATCTTGGCTAATTAAAAAAGGAATGTATGTCAACATTCTAGTTAATTTCCTTAGTGTTGTCAAGTCTTTCTGTGCTATGATGAGAGATTAATAGATTAGTTAGGGGAGGATTTAGGAAGGAGTATGCTTTTTTTGTATCAAATGCTTTCAAGCTCTAATTTTTAAGGAGCTAGTAACCATTTTATATTGTTATATGTTTAAATGAGGCTATATTTGATAGGCTTTTACACTAAGGTGTGCCAATTTTAAAGGATATGGCAAACAACATATTGAAAAGCCTCTAAATGATAATTGTAATTACAGTTACATAGTTATTTAGGCTATTTAGGCTGAAATGTCAGTCAAATTCAATAAACTCTAGAAGTTTTGGTCCAGAGGAAGGCAAAACAAAAGCCCAAAGGCAACCATTGCTACATGCATGGTTACTACTTTCTAAAGAAGGGCCCTGCGCAGCATACTTACTTTACATAAAAACAAATATTTCCTTAAAGTATATCCATAGCCACAACAGTTTTTGCAGTTTGGGATAGAGCTATAAGGGAGACTAGGAAATTATATTAAAAAAACCCCCACATAACTAGGTTAAGTAAAATATGGTCACATGCTCTGTGCCTTTTCACTTCCTGTAGTCAGGATAGACTTCAGTTTTTCTTATATATATTGTAGGGGTCACCAATATTAGTCATCTTTGCATCACTTACAAAACAAAATAGGGGGGCACTGTCCAGAACCGGGTCTGATTAGACCTGCAGGCTGTTCCAGCAAGCCTACATGCAGTCTCTCTCTCTCTAAAACACCACCTACTCATCGCGGAGAAGATATTGATGATACACCTGGTTAGCGCTTCTGCCTTGCAGCAGTGGGGGTTCCTGGTTTGAATCCCAGCCAGCTCACTTTCTGCAAAGAGTTTGCATGTTCTCCCTGTACTTGCGTGGTTTTCCTCTGAGTACCCTGGTTTCTTCCCGCACTCCAAAGACATGCTGGTAGGTTAATTGGCTCCTGACTAAATTGGCTCTGGTATTTATGCATGTGAGATATGGACCTTAGATTGTAAGCTCCTTGAAGGCAGGAGCTGATGTGAATGTTCACCATATAAAGTGATGTGTAAATTGTCGGCGCTATATAAATACCTGTAATACATAAATAATAATAAATACCCCAGGTGGGGGAAAGGGTGTGGCCAGTGCCACGGGGGTGCATGCCCCATATTACTACATGGTTGTACCACTACCACCAAGTTATCTCACAAAATGCCACAGTCTAGGGTTAGAAAAGCCCCATATATATTCCCACCCTGGACTCAGAGGGTCTGTTTGTCATATACCCACCCACTCTGTTTGAACCCATTGTCTTGGATGCTAAACAGTGGCATCTGCATTCTTGTGATGAGAACTCACTCGATACTCAACCTTGAATAAGAAACATTAAGAGCCAGGAACCAATGAGTGACTCTAGGGTTTCTTTCTTTTGGCTTGGACCATTAATTGTAGGAGAGCATAGTCCATGAATTGTCTAAAGCATTGTCCCAGTAGATAATATTGAAAAGCCTCCAGTGCCCCCTCAATAGCCCGCCACTCTTGCTGTACAGTGCTATAGTTCCTTTTTGCTGACATCAGCTTTTGACACAAACACATCGGCAGATGCACTTCCCCACTCACTTTCTGTGGCAAAAGAGCCCCCAGAACTACATTGGAAGCATCAGTCTGGACCAAGTACTTTTTCTGAAAGTCTGTTGCTGTTAGCACCAGTGGTCAACAAAGGGCCCTTTTCAGACTCTGAAAGTCTTTTTCTGCGTCAGGACCCCAGTTACTCAACCTAGCATTTCCCCCTTTGGTTAAACCAGTCAAAGATGCTGCTAAGGGGGCAACATCTGGAATGTACAGTCTATAGCAGGGGCGCCCACTATTTTTCGTCTGGAGATCTACTTTTCAAATGACGAGCTCATTGAGATCTACCAACGTTTTTTTTTACTCTTGGGGGGGCTTCGGGGAAATATTAGGGGTCTAAAAAGCCCCCTGATATTTCCCTTTTAAAATAGAAAAAGAAATTGAGGACACAAAGTCCTCAATCTCTTTTTCTGCAGCCTCTATTCTAAACGAATGGAAAGTACAGAGGCTTCCCATTCATTCAGAAAATATTTTACTATCAAGCAGTTTCTGAATGGGGAGGAGCCTCTGTACAGAGTGCTTCTTCCCATTGAGAAACTTATGAATGAACAGGCTGCAATGTAAATCACATCCTGTTCATTCATTTATAACTGGGGACACATAGTACTAAGTTATTTACAAACACTGGAGTGATCAGCCGATCGCTCCAGTGTTTGTCCTACACAGAGGATTGGTACATACTAGTGGCATGTACCGATCTTCTGCCGCTCGTCCACGCACAGGGGGCTGCAACTTCTCTGGATCCCCCTGCTCTCCCGGGCACAGGCAGCGGGGGATACGACTTTTTTTTTGCCGGTTCCTTCACAGCGGCGGGAGGAGAGGACATGGTGATCTACCAGTGATCGCTACGAGATCGACTGGTAGATCGCGATCGACCTTGTGGGCACCCCTGGTCTATAGCAACCTACAATGACCAGTTAGGTTCTAACCTGCTTCATGCCAAAATTAGTTGGCCAATCCCTCATTTCTTTGACCGTATGAATTTTGAGTTTCTTCAGACCTTGTCCAATGATGTAACCAAGGTACCGTGCCTGTTCCAGACCGATAGCAAACCTTTAGGCTTGCTGTTAAACCTACTTTTCGTGTGGAGTTCAGTCCAAAAACCACTACATCATCTACTGTAAGTAGGCCACTGTGGAATAGCGAATACTGTATTTTCTGTTGCCTCTTCCATTAGTTTCACTTGCCAATATCCCCTAGTAAGGTCAGAAGTGGTTATGCATTATGTTGGAGCCAACCTCTCATGAACTTCATGAGGTATTCCGCCAGGTCTCTCCTGACACTGTCAGTCATTTTGGTGTTACCTCTGCAATAATGACACCCCCCTTGTGACACCACTGCTCCTGATGATAAGAGGGGCCCCTGATGTGAAGGAGGGACTCTGATGTGAAGAGGGGACTTTGATGTGAAGTGGGCTCCTGATGTCAAGGGGGTTGTGATATGGAGGGGGAACTGTTATGTGAAGGAGGCTCCTGATGTGAAGGGGTGGCTTCTGATGTGAACTACACTTGCCTAAAACCTTAGTTGTTAATCTCAGTGGCTTTTTAGCACAATGTGCATACAGTTCATGACAATAGTTCTTGCATTTCAGCAGAATGAGTTCCATCTTTGCCCTTTACATACCTCCACGAATTGTATGTGTCAGCTTTAAATATAAAGCTTGCAGAGTGGTAGACCAGTTGCCACAATTCTTCCTGCC